AAGTTGTTTCATAACAAAAAGATAAGATAAGATCTTGTTGGAACAAATCCCTTGTATCAAGAGGAGATCTTTGGAGATCACCAAGAGCTGTTTGGGGCGCTGATTTGGTGTGATTATAAGTGTCATCTAGTCAACCAAATAAGCTCCAATCAGATTTGGTTGGTTGAGAGAATTAGTGAGTGAGTTGGTTCAAATTTGAATGCAACTGCTCAACGTATTTGGACCCCTTTTGGGGCTGAATGGGGCGCATAGATGGCTGGCCATATGATGGCCATTAGGTCAGAATTTTGACTAGATAAAGATCTAGTCTCATGAGGATTGGATGGTAGGGTTGTTGGGAATTTTGAATTGCAACAACTCCACACTTTCTCTCCCTTTGTGTGCGCCATTTGTGATCAGAATTTGATGAAGAAAATCTGATTGCATCCTTACTTCCTCTCATCCTTTTGTGCGCCATTTTTGTTAGGTTTTTCCCTAAGTGTTTTGGAATTAACCTAGCCTTTTCTAAGAGTATCCATGCCCCACTTTTGTGAAGTTTTCATGCTGAAGACTTCACTCTTCTAAACACCTTTACTTAGCCTCCTCCTTCACACATTGGATGCCTATTTCTGTTTAGAGATCTCACCACACGTCTGGGGCGCTTATTTCAGGTTCAGGTAACTTGGGGGGTTGAGACCTCGGGCGGCAACAGGCCGGAGCTGAGTTAGATTTATGCTGTTATGATGATATGCTTGGATGCTGACATGTTTTACATTTATGATTATGCCTTTGTAGTTGAGACTCTGTTGGGCCTTGTTGCCTTATTTGGTGAGCATGGAGGTTGTCCATGCCACTTGTGTTGACTTTGCTGTTTTAGATTTGAGTTGTTTAATGTATCAGGATATTGTCCGGACTACGTGTTGTAGATCCGTGAATTAGATACTCACTTATTTATATTACGAGGTTATATAGTTAAATAGCTGTTTATTTGCAATTACATACAGGCAATAGTATCTACGTGTTCTAGATACTATTAGCTCTTACACTCGTGTTTCAAAATTAGGCTTTTACCCTCTTACAAGCTAACACACTCCTGCCTTTTTTCCCTCTTTTGAATTCCCTCTTTTAGTTCTTAGCTGAACTCAATTGAAGTTTTTTTGAAGAAATCCAAACAGATCACAACATGTAATAATACAAAGAGACAAGAAGAACAAGAGAATAATTTTTTTGATGTCAAGAATTAGGGGCAAAGAAAGGTTGGAATGACAATAAATTTAAGCAATAACTGAAATTAAGTAAGAAGAGAAGTACACACTGGCATATAAAAGAACAAAACTGAAAAGAATTCAAAGAAACAAGTTTTACTTCAAGGAATTTAGATCAGATTTTTTATTTTCATTTTTTTTTCTTCCTTTTTTTTGCTTTTGCAGATACTAAGAATATATTTTTTAAATAGTACCAATGGGAGTAGTTGACACAAGAAGGAGAATAAAATAGAAAAAAAGAGTTAAAAATAAAATAAGGATAGATCAAACCTGATTTAGAAGACTAGCTTTGATACCAAATGATATGAACCTCACCAAGAATAGTGAGACCCAAGACTAATTTAGTTACAATCGTTTCTAAAATCAGGAATTTTAAACAATAAATAAGAACCTTGACCCGTTATTTATGGAAGATAAGAACCAAAGGTATAAGAAAGATAAAGACGCCACACTCAAGAAAGAAGAAGGTGAGTTATAAGTCTGATTTGAACGCCACAAGAACAAGCTTCTTGAAAAGTTCAGAGTTCTAGTTAAGAACCAAAGAGAAGAAACCTCTCAATTATATTATAACTTCCAAATCTGATTACAAGAGTTGTATCCTCCCTTATTTATACTCCAAACATCCCTCCAAGAATAGGAAAAGACAAGCAAATGAAAAGACACTAATTTAAAGTTGACAACATTGAAAAAGGAAAAGACTCTAATCAGCCCACTAAACATTAATGACATTGGAAATGTGAAACAACCCCACTAAGCATTAATCGACATTGGAAATTGCTACTCATTCCACTCAACCTCCCTTGCACTGATGGCAATAACTAAATTCTGATTATGAATAAATTTGGACTCGAAGTCTTTCATGATTATCCCACATTTGCTGGATTAACCCACTAAGAACTTCTTTAATCTTCTTGGCCCTTGTTCTTGTGATTGGCCCATTTGGAAATTGCAATGGATCACTAGGTGTTGTCTCCTTATTCATATCATTCCCTCCCTCTTCAAAAGGATTTGTCCTGAAATCTGCACCTACATCATAAGGAGATAAATCAGAAACATTAAAGCTTGCACTAACATTATACTCACCTGAAAGGTCAAGCTTGTCAGCATTATCATTTATCCTCTCAATCACTTGAAATGGTCCATCACCCCTTGGAAGCAGTTTGGAACGTCTTTGGGCTGAAAATCTCTCTTTTCACAAAACATTCAAAACAAACTTTAAATACTCAACATGCTCACTCAAGTTTGTGCTATAAATCATAATGTCATCAAAATATATTCCCACAAATTTTTCAAGGAATGCACGCAAAATATGATTCATCAATTTCAAAAAGGTGCTGGGTGCATTAGTTAAACCAAACGGCATAACCAACCATTCATACAACCCTTATTTTGTTTTGAATGCGGTTTTCCACTCATCACCTTCTTTCATTCTGAGTTGATGATATCCACTCCCAAGATAAATTTTAGTAAAAACACATGCACCATACAACTCATATAGCATATCATCAATTCTAGGAATGGGATGTCTATACTTTACAGCAATATTGTTGATGGCGCGACAATCAACTCACATCCTCCAAGAACCATCTTTCTTGGGCACAAGCAATACTGGAACAACACATGGACTCATGCTCTCAAGCACATGCCCCTTTTGCGTAAGCTCATTAACTTTCCTTCGGAGCTCCTTTGTTTCTTCAAGGTTGGTTCTGTATGCTAGCCTATTTGGAATTGTTGCCCCTGGTATGAAATCAATTTGGTGCTCTATACCCCTTATTGGTGGTAAACCATCAGATATTTCTTCAAGGAACACATCTTCAAAATCCTGCAAAACAGAGACAATTGCACTAGGCAAAGAAGAATCAATTTCATTAGTGTTAAAGCAAGCCTCCTTATACAAGAGTACAATTATAGGCTGTTTTAGGACCAATGCTTTGTTAATCTCGCCATCTTTCACAAAGAAGTTCTCTTTTTTCTCTCTTTTCTTTTCTCACTACCTGAAACTTGTCTTTGACTCTCTTTTTCTCTCTGATTTTCTCTTTCTTTTTTTGGTCATTCTCTTTTTTCAACCTTACTTGATCCTCATACACTTGAATTGGACTTAAAGAAGCAAGAGTAATGGTTTTGTTATTCATAACCAATGAGTATCTATTAGTGTACCCATCGTGCATCACACGTCTATCAAACTGCCACGGACGCCCTAAGAGAATATGCCCAGCTTGCATTGGCACAACATCACATAACACCTCATCCTTATACTTTCCAATTGAAAATGGAACTACCACTTGCTTGTTCACCTTGATTTCTCCACAATCATTCAACCATTATAGTTTATATGGTCTTGGATGCTTCAGAGTTGCTAAATTTAACTTCTCCACCAAACTAGTACTAGCAACATTTGTACAACTTCCTCCATCAATAATCATGGAACACACCTTGTCGTTTACATTGCATCTAGTATGAAAAATATTTTCTCGCTGCAACTCCTTATCTTCTTTAACTTGCACATTAAGATCTCTTCTAGCCACTAAAAGCTCTCCTTCAACCGGTAATTCAATATCACTTGCATCTTCTAAAGAAGGCATGGATTCATTATCAGATTCACCTTCACTTTTAATATCACCATTATCTTTCAAAATCATGACATTGTTATTTGGACATTGAGAAGCAATATGACCCCTTCCCAAACACTTAAAACATTTTATGTCTCTATTTCTAGAGGATTGAGATTCAGTTTTACCTTGGCTGGAAGTGTTTACAACTTGGTTGGTTTTAGAGGAACCAACTGGAGATTTGAAATGAGGCTTCTTTTCATTTTTATTCCATGTTGGTCTTGAAGATGAAGTTGAATTCTGCCTCATTCGCATGGTACACTTCTTTTTTAGTTGCCTCTCCACCTTTATGGCCATGTGCACCATGTCATCTAACTCCACAAAATGTTGTAATTCTACCACATTTGCAATGTCCCGATTTGCAATGTCCGTGTCTGTGGGAACATTTAATCTTATGTTGTAGGAGATACTCATCTCATGTCATAGATCTAATATATGGTGGGTCCCATCATGTGTTAAAAAAAAAATAAAAATAAATAAAAAGCACGTTTTTTGATATATCTACGACATAAGATAACTCTCTTCTATTACATGAGAGAATAATTTTCCTATATATATATATATATATATATATATATATATATATATATTATACTATGTAGTACACAATGATGCACGGACACGGGACACGGACACGGACACGGGACACGGGACACGACACGACACGACACACCGACACGTTAATTCTAAAAAATGTCATATTTGGACACGTTGGGACACATTTTGATATTAAATAAAAATTTTAATATATATATATTTAATACATATAAGAATCCATAATAAGTCATATAACCAATCAAATATTTAAATTTTATAACATAAATATTATAAAAAATAATAGAACATCCGTAGAGTGTAGAAAAATTATTTTACTTATGATTACAGACAGTTCAATTATTTTCATCTCCATCTTGAATAAGAAAAATTATATCATCAATTGCTTGAAAAATGTAGAGCTGTATTCAAAAAAAAAAAAAAATGTAGAGCTTTGTTCACAAAACGCTCGTCAGCAAGCCCAGAAACAAGATAAATAATGAAATAAAAAAAAAAATTATTAAAAGACTCCAAGCACAGCAACTGATGAATCATGAAATAAAAAAATAATAAATATCAGAAGAGGTTTCTCAATTCTCATGGTGGTGAATCACTACCAGAAACATGAGAAAGAGTCACTTTTGCGGTTGTGACCATTGAGAAGCGGTGAAAACCTTCTTCTCCGGTAATAGAAGCCGCATTTGATTCTGAACCTGGAAAAAACCATCTTCCTGAGTCTGGTAGCAGATCGTAGCCTTAGCCACACAACTTTCTTAACACGAACCAAAGAACCTTTGATTCTCTCCGTGAGGCTCTTCTTTGGACAAAACTGGTAGCTTCTCAGGAACAGTTGTCTTTAATTGGTACATAAATGCTACATAAATTAACGAGAAACACTATAAGAAAAATAGAAATAGCCGGGGCAAGCAACCAAGGCGGTACCTTTGTGGAGCTTCTTGGCGGGCTGAGTCGGAGGAGGAGCAGACGACCAACCAACCACCGACAACGAAGAAGAAAGCAGGGGCGTGATTTTATTTTAATATTTTGTATTTTTTTAAATTGTAATTTTATTTTATTTTTACAAAAAAATGCAAAACGTGTCCATTTCTATTGACCGCGTGTCGAATACGGTCAAATTCAAGTGTCTCATTAGTCAACGTGTCCTAAAAAGTCAACTACGTGTCGGACGCGTGTCCGAACGTGTCCGAACGTGTCCGTGTCAGACACGCATTTTCCCTCCAAAATGGCGTGTCCGTGTTTCACAGGTAGTACATTCATAATCTAGTCTACTCTCGAAAGTACATAGTATAATTTGTAAAAGTTTGTAAATAAAAAATTTGTTAATATAACTCTCTATAGGTTTGCCTACTCTCTTTTTTTGGAAATATTTCAATCGGTTCATTGCTTCGCAACTAATCCGATTCAGGGCGGGTCTAGGATTAAAACTTTAAACCCCTCCCAAAGGTGAACTGGGGGATTCGAACACATACTCTTACCCCACCTGCTCAGCTCCCATGTGCCAACTGAGCTACCACCATTTGGTTAGGTTTGCCTACTCTGATGTTATAGGAAAGAGTATATCTTATGCTAAGATACAAATTGATAGGGCCCATCACTAAAAAAAAAAATAGCAGAATTATCGAAGCGTCTATGACATAAGATAATAGTCTCCTACAACATTCATAACCATATAACTATCATTGTTATACATAAAGTGACTGTAGAAATGATTTTACACACACACACACACACACATATATATAATGGAACATTTAATCTTATGTTGTAGGAGATACTCCTCTCGTGTCATAGATCTAATATATGGTGGGTCACATCATGTGTTAAAAAATAAAAAACAAATAAATAAAAAGCACGTTTTGTTGATGTATCTACGACATAAGATAACTCTCTCCTATTACATGAGAGAATAATTTCCCTATATATATATATATATATATATATATATATATATATATATTATACTATGTAGCACATTCATAATCTAGTCTACTCCTGAAAGTACATAGTATAATTTGTAAAAGTTTGTAAATATAACTCTCTATAGGTTTGCCTACTCTCTTTTTTGAAAATATTCCAATCGGTTCATTGCTTCGCAACTAATCCGATTCGAGGAGGGTCTAGGATTAAAGCTTTAAACCCCTCCCAAAGGTGGTACTGGGGGGATTCGAACACATGCTCTTACCCCACCTGCTCAGCTCCCATGCGCCAACTGAGCTACCACCATTTGGTTAGGTTTGCCTACTCTGATGTTATAGGAAATAACATATCTTATGCTAAGATACAAATTGATAGGGCCCATCACTAAAAAAAAAATAGCACAATTATCGAAGCGTCTATGACATAAGATAATAGTCTCCTACAACATTCATAACCATATAACTGCTATTGTTATACATAAAGTGACTGTAGAAATAATTTTATATATATATATATATATATAATGGACATGTTATTCTTACAGCGATGTAAGGATAAAATAGTTTATGCCGAATATTGATCATTGACTATTAATCCCACGTACATTAATCAAGGACTCTAAGTTATTACTTTACTCAAACAATGAGTCTGTAGTTGCAGGTGAGTTTAACTGCTAATAATAGATGTAAGAATTTATTAAATTTACACTTGTGGGTGTGTGTTCCATATTTGTCTTTTACTTAATTATATCTTCCATATAGTAAATAAATTTGTCATTTTGTAATATTTTTAACTAATATGACATATTTCACACACACACAAATTACAATCTTAACCTTAATAATTATACATGTAACACATCATCTCGAATCGGTTTGTTAACAAATATATGACACAAATGTGCCTTTAATGATACAAATATAGCCGAAGACTTCATAAAAGTATCATAATAGTTATTTTTAAACTACGTGAATTAACTTTTTCTATGTCTTTATGTTCACAATGAAAGTAGCCTTTTGTAGGCTATAAACATAAAAGAGGAAGAAAAAAATTGTACGAGGAAGAGGCAATTTTTGCCCACCCTCAAGCATGTTCAACTCATGAATCATGCAATAGATATGTTAGGAGTTTAAAGTTGATACCTTTATTCGAATTAATGTTCTTGATCAAATGCTTTTTGATGGTTCGAAAGCGGCACCATAGTCAAACTATGGAGCGTATACATGGGTTGAAAAACAAAATTTTTCATAGCGGAAGCATAGACCATCTATACACCCTATGTATGAATGCTTTACGTTGAAATGATATAGGGTTTCAGAATTACCTTTTCACTTGTAGGCGCAAAAGGATGACGCCCTCCAACGGTGATCCACACGGTTATCTCCTTCTTGCTAGCGAGAACTCTTTCTCCTTGATCCCTCCTTATCCTCGGTGGCTGGCTAGGCGCATGTAATGAAGAGGCTACCAAGTGTTTGGATTATTTTTATCAAGACTGTAATGGTGTCTTGAGGCTAGGTGATGGTGCAACAAGAGAGAGAAGAGGAAAGGTTGGAGGTTTAAAATCACTTTTTTTTTGTAGAGATATAGCATCAGGTTTCTATATAATCTGATCAACCACATCAGCCCTCCTTTTGATTAGGCGCACAAATTAAAGATGAGAGGGACTTTCCTTGATTCTCTCATTTTAACTAGGCGCCCCATATCAGCCTCCTTTAATTAGGCACACACATTGAATGATGAGAGGGACTTTCCTTGATTCTCTCCCTTTAATTAGGCATCCCTTTAATTCCTTTCCTTTCCTCAGAAATTTTGTTGCAATAGTATTCATTTAAATTCCGAATTCAAATGAAAGAGTAGTTGAGAGAATCTTCATCCAATCTCTATTGGATTATTCCTTTAATTATTCTCAACAACCTAACCTCATAGAATTTCAAATTCAAATTCAAATTTCAAATTCAAATTTGAAATTTAAACTCAAATATAAATTCAATCTTATCCCAGTTCGTAATTCGAATTCGAAATTCAAATTTCAAATTTCAAATTTCAAATTCAAATTTCAAATTTTAAAAATTCAAATTTCAAAATTCAAATTTCAAATTTGCCCAAACCTTATTTTGGTCAAGTCAACTCTTTGACTTACAAGGATTCATGCCCCAAGGCCTCTTTGGCCTATTTTGGGCCCATTAGTGGATAAAACTCTTTCACTACTAATGCCCCAAAAGGGCGCATGGATCAAGTGGGCTTGGAGTCCCTACTCCAACCCAACTTGACTCATAGTCTTGACAAAGCCCAATAACTCATTATTGGTCCAAACTTGCTATAACTTGCAATAAGGAATAACCTTTGTGTGTGACCCATTAAGCCCAATTAGTTACTGACATAAATAAACTTGAACCAGTTAAACTCCTTTAAAAGGCCCAATTCATTTAATGACTACATGATACACTAGCAATGCTCTGTAGCCAAAGAACTAATTGAGTTGATCGAGCAATCTACCTTTCTGATTTGGATACCGTGCCAGCATTATCCCTCACATCGTCATTCACATTTAGTCGAGAGCAAGGATAAAGTATCATCTCTCTTTATTGACTAAATATAATATTTTACAGGAACTAGGAATCTTCTTCTATTGACTCTAAGACAGATCATGACTCTTCATGATCTCTTACTATGCATAGATTCCCGAGTCAACTAGAAGTCATCTCAGCCCTACCGGTCTTTGTGAACGACTAATCCTTTATAGGGGATTGTGAGTCCTTTCGGCATGTCCATCTATACTTATGTATTCGAGTTATACCCAAGAGTACATTATTCTCCCCATTTTCAGGCGGATAGAGTTGTACAATCAAAGTATAACTCTAGGACATAGTATTCGATGACATCCTTAAGTCTAGGACGATCCGCACTACCAAACGTTCAGAGACTTTACAAATCCAATGATACTCTCCATAATGAATCCTTGTGGAGTCTATAAGCGGGTTAGTTCAGTGCTATCTGTTCTCCAACAGATCCACCCACGACATCAACTAAGGCATCACCATGCCTGCATTCCATGAGGTCCCTACCTTGTATCTCCATACAAGTAGATGATGTCGTACTAGTCTTATTGAAATCACCAATACCCTTTCTCGGTGATTCAAGACTAGGAACATATTTTAGGTAATAGACATTCAGAGTCCTCGAGTCCTCATGATCATGATCCCTATCATAGATCCCCGAGTGAACACCTGTTCTATTCCTAGGGTCTTTATCTTTAAACGCATATTAACAATAAAATATTGGTGAGACATAAATATGATAAAGATAAAGTTTGCTCATATTTATTAATCATGAAATTCTAAATAGAAAAAGGTGTTTATCTGATAAAACAGATTGTCTCTAGGACACCTATATACTAACAATCTCCCACTTGGCCTAGAGCCAATCAGGTCGACGTGTCAAACCTAAAGACTCATAATGACTATCATGTTTTCTCTGAGAGAGACCCTTCATCAGAGAATCGGCCAAATTATCATCATTAGGGACATAGTCCATCTTTATCTCCAGTCTTTCAATAATCTCTCGGATGAGGTGATACTTTCGGAGCACATGCTTGGACCTTTGATGAGACCAATGTTTCTTGCCCTGGGCTATAGCACCAGTGTTGTCACGATACAAAGGTATTGGATCAACAATGCTCGGAACCACTCCAAGTTCTGCAACGAACTTCTTTATCCAAACTGCCTCTTTAGCCGCTAAGTATTCTGCCTCAGTAGTAGAGTCTGCCGTGGTCTCTTGCTTGGAACTCTTCCAAGAAACAGCTCCACATTTAAGGTGTATATAAAGCCTGACTGAGATTTACAGTCGTCTTTATCACTCTGGAAGCTAGCATCAGTGAACCCCTTCACTTTCAGCTTATTATTGCCACCATAAACTAGAAACAAATCCTTAGTCCTTCTCAAGTACTTAAGGATTGTCTTCACAGCCGTTCAGTGACTCTCACCAGGGTCAGACTGGTATCGACGCGTAATGCTTAAAGCATAAGAGACGTCTGGTCTAGTACATAGCATGGCGTACATGATGGATCCAATTGCTGATGCATATGGAATTCTCTCCATGGGTTCCCTTTCGACAGGTGTCTTAGGACACAAAGCCTTTGAGAGATGAATGCTATGTCTGACAGGAAGCAAACCCCTTTTCGACCCATCCATGCTAAACCTCTTTAGCATCTTGTTTATGTACGTGGATTGGGACAATCCCAGCAACCTCTTAGATCTATCTCAGTAGATCTTAATACCTAGTATATAGGCTTCCTCTCCCATATCCTTCATGGTGAAGTTCTCAGACAACCAAACCTTTGTGGATTGTAACATGGGAATGTCATTTCCAATAAGCAATATGTCATCTACATATAGCACAAAGAAAACAACAGCATTCCCACTAACCTTCTTCTAGACACATGGTTCATCCTCATTCTTGATAAAACTGTTATCCTTAACGACTTCATCAAAACGAAGATTCCAGCTCCTGAAAGCTTGCTTAAGCCCATATATATTGACCTTTGAAGTTTGCATACCATATGCTCTTGACTCTTGGATT